AAATCAGAGAATAGATCTGAGAGCTAACAACCACTTTATCTATTTCGAGAGCTCTTGAAAAAGTGAGCTAATAATTTCTTAAAACTAAAATTCACTGTATACCCCGTGGGACATCCTTAAGGCTGGCCCCGGCTGGCTTCCGTAGATAATTTCCCTACTCTAAACTCTAAACCCCCCCCCAAATCTAAAAAAATAGAGATTTCATTCCATCTATTCGATTCAGGTAGATGCGGTAAGAATCTTCATTCCACCTTAACCTTATATTTACCGCAACTACGGTACCATTTTTTAAAGCTGTTTACCAACTGACAGCCACCGTTCTCGAGGTTTTTGTATCCATGTCTCAACTTTGAAAGGCTTGTCCCTTTGCATCCTTTACTGGCTTATTTTTAAGCCGTTGCCACCTTCAAGTCCCGTGGCAAGATCGACCGATTCGATTCTCGACGATGAACTGAAAGAGCTGGTTGGAGCGAAGAGAGGACTTGAATTGAATGAGTGAGAAGGTGTGGTTCGTCGTTCCAAGAAGAGTGCTTCTGTCAATGCTGATGGTAATGGTGACACCTCCTCACCATGATGAAAGACCAGAAATCAGGTTTCCATTTGTGGATCCTTCCATTGCCGCCATCTTGGCCTGTCGGCCTTCTAACGGTATTACTACCGGAACACCCAGTTTTGGGTATTATTTGAAGAGGAATGCTGGGACTCTGCAGCTACAAGGCTGGAAGGACAATGCTCATGTCTCTCAAGAGCAACGGCTGATTCACTTGGCTTTGGAATGTGATGACTGTGTCTTTGTACAGCAAGCACTCTTTTCTACTAAAACATGTACCACTGTTGATCCCCACGATAGTACAGGTACTAATAGTAGTCAAGATCCAAAAGCCCCTGATCAGCAATGCTTGGAAACTTTGGTGGAGTGGGGTAGCAACAATAATAATAATACGGTGGCAAGCAGTACTGCCAAACGAGTCATGGCCACGCTGTTGGCGCTCAACCGTCTGGAAGCTGCCATTCGTCGTGCCACGGGGCACCATACTGCCGGAAGAGCTCCCTTGCTCAAAGACATGCTCCAAACGCTACAAGAAACCACAACAACTACCAGCAGTAGCCAATCAACAGAGATTTCCTCCGTTCTGCAAGTCCTCTTGCTGCCCACTGGACTCAATCTACGCAATCTACTCTGGCATGGGTTTGTCGCCGATCTGCCACGACCCTGGTTGGCACTGGTCGTGGTTTTGATTGTCCTATTGGAGCAAGATACTCCAAAGTCAGTGTCGCCCTCCCTTGATAAAGATCATGATGATCAGGAGTTGTTGCCCAACTTGAGGGCGTACTCTTCCTATGGTCCCATTTTGAAGCGAGGTCAAGAGCTGCTGCAGGGACCAGATTTGATAAAGTCCACATCAGCCTCTTGGATGTCATCGTCTCACCAGTACCAGCAATGGTGGACCCTCATCCAACAGTGGGCCCAAGAATATCACGGTCACACACAGCAGCATCCGAATACTACTACTGGATATCCACTCTGCAGTTGCATCCTACTGACATGCCTCCTGGAGCACATGCTACGACAACTCTGGTGTCAGGACAACAATCAACAAGCACAAGATTCCAAAGCCAGACCAGCCAAATACTATGTCACACTTGATGGACATGGACAACGACATCAACACAATGTACTGTTGCATCCCTTTCTAGTAAAAGACGACGGCAGCACCCAGGTTCGAAATGCACTTGTTCAACGATTGGGGGCTCCCACCATGACACTCTTGGCCGATCTCTACTGTTCTCCGTGTGGCGGGCCCAATCTACGGGCCAGTCTGGCACATGGATCCTGGGATACATGGCTGCAACAAGAGTTATTATTGCGACACTCGTCCACTGCTATTACTACAACTGATACTACCAGCATTGCAATAAACCGCAACAACAACGAATGGTGCTGGGATTTGGTCCTCGTGCTATTGGTTCTCATGGAAGCCGTGACCATAACACAGACGGATCCAGTCAAGCGCAATGCATTATTGCTTCAACACTACCGCCCCCTATTCTCGTTTACCACCGTGACCTGTCTCAAAATGGAACGGGCCCTGGAACAACTGGCCCGACTGGAAACCATGGTACACTCGTCACACTATCGAGATCAGTTTACAGCCGCAGCCACGACATCCAACACTCTACTAGCATCATGCCAAAATATCCTGGAATTGCAAGTTGGCGAATCCCAACTGGCGCAACTTGCCCAACCCGTGTACACTCAATGCCGGTACAGTACGACTACGACTACTACAACTCCCTGGACCGTGGACGACTTGTTCCACGAGCACGAAACCAACCAACGACTTGCATCTCTGGGAGCGGCTCGAGCCTTGCTGGAGGATGTGCAAGAGGCCACGTGCGCCTTTTGTGACGGCATGGAACAAATTCTACAGCCACAACCCGGTTCGTTATCGACTCGACAACGAAAACAACGTCTTCGAATCCTGGCCATTCACCCACTGGCCAGCAGCGTCTATTCATTTGCGGCCATGACGGCGATACTCCTCATTGACTACGAACTGCAATCTTCTGCAACCGATAAGACGCAACACGCGAAACAATCAACAATAGTAGTGGACCGAGAAACGCTGTTGCAAGCCGTGAAACGCTCTCGCATGGTGGTGTCGACCGTGTCCAATTTCATCACAGCCAATGCCGACCGTGCAATCAAAGCCGCCAAAGAATACCGACAAGGCAAGGCAGTCAAGGCCGTCTTGGCATCGACGGTACAACCAGTTAGTGGTGGTGGTTCCACAGCATAGCTAGCTATAGCCAGTTGTCAAAAAGTAAGTGCAAATTATTGAGAGACGGGAAAGTGAGAGAGAGGTGAGCCGATCATGGACCGGCGAATCATGGCATGGCGAAGGAGGGAAATAACTACACGCCGTCGGGTCGGGTCGGGTCAAGTCGAGTTGACACGATGCCATCGTTCACCGATTACTCACGGGGAAGAGCGGCGACATGACGGGTTTCTTGCTTCGTCTCTCCAGCGACAATGCTTCATGTATTTATGCCGGTACCGTACAACGATGCATCCTTCTCTATAACTAACTATGCTAGCTACGATACTGTACATAGTAATACTACGAATAGTTAGTTCCACCAAGACAAACGTTGACAAGGAACGTTCTTTGTTTTCGTGCCTGCTGCACTCTCCGTCCCTGGTACATACATAGCAGTGTACTGTAGAATCGATTCAATCGATTGGACCAGTCCAACTTTTCGGACCGGACGGCGGGGGACCATGGAGCAAAGCTATCGATAGGAATAAAGAGCCACTTTCCATCTCAATAGCCAAACGTCTACCCAGCCATAGATGCAGTTGGAGTATAAGCTGGATGCTATGCATCGGTACAACATGCAGAGTGATGCTCACTGATGACTCACGAGCTATAGAGTACACGCTGTATCATCATTGCGAGGGCATCTGGGATGGTATCGGTATTCCCCACGTCTTGTTTCGTCTCAGCTAAAATGTTCAATAATAGCAAACAGAAAAAAAGGGTGAGACCAAAATAAACTAAAGCTTGCCATTCTGTATGTATGTACCAAACAAACATGCAACAAATTTTGATAATACTGTACGTATCGTACCGCCTTCATGAGTTTTGGATTCTGCAATACTTGTTTGGAACTTTCCATGACTTGTGCGGGAGTACTCCCACGAGGAACCGCCACGAGTATTTCATCATTTTGGAGATTGTACGATTGCAACGTGAGTGCATTGATCATTTCGGTAGGTGTTGTAGACTTTTTGTTTGTTTGTTTGTGCGTGGAACAATCCATGCGCAACAATCGCAAAAAGGTTTGTCGTGCCATGGTGGGATCGGATGCCAATGACGGCAGGAGTTGTAAGAGTTGTGCAATTCGTATTGGTTTCTGTTGTTGTTGTGTATGTGTACCGGTATCGCCACCAAGTATATCGTACTCGAGTGCGACAAACTCGTAGGCGTACACTTGGGGCAGCAACAGCAGTACGAGGACTCGTTGAGTAGTCAGTTGATGTTTGGAAATTTCAAATACCGTTTCGAGACCATTATCGTCCTCGGCAAATCGGACGGACCGTAAATCGCCGCGGACCAAGTCTTTGTGATTGCTGCTGCTAGTAGTGCGAAGACAGGACTGTAAAAGAATGGATTCGTTTGTTGTTGCTGGTTGTTGCTCTTGTTTGGATTTGGATCGTTTGGATGATGACTTTCGTTTTGGAGATTTCTTGGGAGATCGTTTCTTCTTTTGCTGATTGAGTTTTTGCTTGTCTTGCGCCAAAAAGGTTCGAAAGGAGGAGAGGGTGTCATCTTCATTGGCATCTTCATCTTCTGTAGATATTGCTGACTTAGAAGTAATAGTCTTGTCTATTGAAGATCTAGCCAATTGTACTTGTAAGCACTGTTGCAAGAGATGCTGAGTGATAAAGATCAAGACAGCCAGACTGAAGCCTCTATAGACTTCCCACAGGACATCCATTCCATCACCCACTAGTAGTATACTAGTAGTACTAGTACATAGCATGACAGCCATTAATAGCAAGATGCCCAATATCCACCCATACAACTTTTCCTTCCTTTTTCTTTCCTGACATTCAGATTGTTGAGATTGCTGATATATGGCAGCCATTCCAACAGTGCCACTGGCTACAGTGCAGCTGAGAAGGGTAGCCTGGCCCAACCAACCATGCAGAAATACAAGAGCCAAACTCGTCACACCCAGATAATCCCACTGAGGCTTCCTGTTCCTCTTATCATGGTTATTCTTATTCTTATTCTTATTCTTGTTTGGATGAATCCAATACATCATTCTCATTATTGTCTTATTGTTCTTATTAATATTGACTTCATTGCCTTGCTATGATCATGATGGTTTCTTACGGCTTTCGTGTTTGTGTCGTCGTGTCAGGCAACAACGGCGCTATTGCCTCGTGCCTCATTTTTTATGTGCGTGTTATTTCTGACACTCCCTCCAGTCCGGCGTCACCTTAAATCTCCAATTCGGTTGAGCCACGCAAGCATGCCGTGGAATACTGTCAATCTCCATAGCGAACCAAAAAGGACACCGGAGGTGTAATAGATATACCGGGCGAGCTGAATTAAAAGATGGGCCGGCATAATAATATTGTTAAAGTTTGGCTGAAGGTAGTGTCATTAGATTTTTCCGTCTGAGAAAGTGGCGTGGTAGCTTACGGGAGTTTAGAGGTGTGCAACATGAGACGTTAGATTTTTCTGTCTGAGAAAGTGGCGTGGTAGCTTACGGGAGTTTAGAGGTGTGCAACGTGAGGAAAATATTAGGATCCGTTGCTACCGTATGATTATTATGAGAATGTGTGAGAACGAGGGGGTTGAAGTAAATCTCTAACCCTAAGGATAACCAACCAACCAAACCCACCACCACCACAATAAATGGGGTCAGAGATCACCGGGGTCTGCCCGGTATATATTTCAAGCTCCTTCCCGCCGCCTTTGACTGAACTTACTTTAGCTTATTGGCTTATTATTATGGGATCGCTCTTCCCGTCAAAGAGGGTGGCCTGGGCAAAAACAAAATCAAAGTCTATTAACGGATTCAGACAAGCTGTGCTTGAGGACAACCCACGAGCCGAGGCCCGGGTATTTCCCACAGTCAAGTCCGCTCACCGGCCACACGCGCCCCGGAGGGTGTGCAACTGCTTTATGCGATCTAAATGAGTAAACTCCATGGCTACACCACTGGAACCGTAGTGAATGCTCATTCTAAGTGTTGAAAGGTGGCGGTCTTTCATGAACACAAGGGAACTTGAAATGATAGAAGTTGGAGGTAGGAGAGGGTGGCCTGGGCAGTCCCAATCCCACCATCACTTCAGCCCGACAAAGCCAGTGCTGCCATGGCAATAATCCAAGTCTCCACCTTCTTGGCTCCTCCTCCTCAAGCCCATTTTGTCTCGCTGCATGCCATGGCTGACCACTCATAATGAAGGCTCATGCGACACTCACATGGCCTGGCTGGCTGTGGCTCAGCCTACGTACCCTTGCCTTGATCACAAGCAACTAACTGATACACTTACAGGCATTATAAGCACTACCGCACCGCACTCTACAACCGGGGCGACTTGCATGGTGTGCGTGCTGTGCTTGTGGGTTTCTTTACATAAGTATCATCAATTCAGAGATAATTTCCCTACTCTAAACCCCCTTATCTATTCAGAGAGCACATCACTTCTGGCCCAAAGTAAAAACGTCTTGGATGCTTGGTGGTGTGGGTATACTGGGGCGTGCCATACGGTACGGCAGGTTTGCTGAGAACGAAAATTTCACGGCGGGTAGAACTGTACGTACATGCGCTGTTCGGGGGTGTCTCAAGTTTTCCCGCACCATCGTTAAAAGGCCGTCGAAAGCGGTAAGAGGTGGTAAGAGGCGGCGAATGATGGTAAATAAGGTGGGTAAAGCAGGCGCTAAAACAGGCGGTTGAACGTGGTCGAAGGCGGCCGAAGTCGGTTGAAGGTGGTAAACGAGGTGGTCAAATGCGATGCCGGAAATAGTAAGTTGATTTGAGCCACCCCCGGTTCCATCTGGCTGGCGGTAGGGCGGAATCGTGTTGTGGCGACAACCAGCCACACAAAGCGGGGTCACTTGCTTTGGTTACTTGATGGAAGGATCTATAAATTTCTTCAAACCAATTCCTTTGCAGTCACAATGGTGCAGGCCTGCAAGACAGGAGAGGAATCCACTGTCATGACGGAGGAGGTCACTGTGCCGTACACGGATGAGATGGAGAGAGGTAAGCAATTGAGTGACAGTCACTAGTGCAAGGAGGTTGGCCAGAATGGTGCCATTCATCTATTGTGTCTATTTATTCCTTTGACTCTCTTACGGTTCCCTTAAAATTTATCGGTAGGCCGTTCTGGCGTGCCCGAAGAAGTTGTGGCCGGCCGTGGGCAGCTGGAGGCCCTCATCTCAAACTTGGCTCTAAATGGCGGCCAGTACCGAGATGCTGGCGGAACTGCTACCAGTTTGTCTGGTGAAATGATGGCCTTGACTCGTGCTCTATTCTCCTCTTTGGAGACCAGGCTTTCTAGACTCGAAGGCAACAACATGTCCAACAACAGAAGCTCAGGGGATTCATATGCGCTGCAGAGTAGGCCGACTGCCCTGGAGACCAACTTTCAAAAGCAGGCCGAGGAGCTCGACACTCTGGCCTCAGAGAGCAAGAGGACGCTGGAGCGCCGAGAGGACTTTGACTCCCGCCTCTCCAAGCTGGAGAATCAGCATGATCTGCAAGACAGGATTTCACGGCTCGAAGGACTCGTGTCTGACATGCAGATTGCACGACGAGACCGCATGGATACGATGGAGCAGAAGATTGCCGACCTCGAGAAGCGCATTGAGAAAACAGCGCTCGACGATGATGAGGAAATTTCCCGTGTGAAGCGGAGCTTTGAGAACTGGATGGATGAGCAGGTGCAGCAGAAGAAAGCGTCACGACCCGGTGTCCCCCTCAATGTGGGTAGTGCTCCTGCGGTGGCCACTGGAGGAGCATTGGTGCCGGTTGAAGAGACCAAGGATACGAATCTTTCAACCTTTCTCCTGCTAGACAAGCTACGAGTCGCCCAACAACTACCTGCCAAACAGTCACGGGCGGGCGTTGCAATGGGCCCGATTCCTCAACCTGACGAGACCAAATTCCCGCAACGTAACGCACTGGTCCTAAAAGATAATTGCGACTACGTGTTGCGTCGTGGACGGCAAGGGAAGCTGATTGCCCCACATCCGAAATCTCCCGCATCTGCATCTGATCCCGAGCAGCTTCTCTTTCGTTTTGACAAAAAACGAGGAGGTTTCCTCGTCCATAGTTTGATTGACGGCAAAAGACTGGTTCTGTCCACAGATGGAGTCCCTCGATTCGAGCAAACCAATTCACCAGTGCCAACATCCAGGGAACTCTTCTTTGTCATTCCCCGAGCTGACTTTTTCTTGATGTTGTCTCCACAACCGTTCCCTCATGTACATCCTTGATGAGCTATGCCACTGCAGCACGAAAGAATTCGCCAAGTCCTCTCCACCTGAAAAGGCCAGGTTCCGCATTGCCTGCCAGGGTTAAGCTTGGCAGGTTCAACCGCTCCAAATAAAGCTAGCTTTTGAGTAGCACTTTTCGTTGAGGACAATAAACGCATGCGATGGAGGAAGATTTTTTGGGTTGCGTTCAGGAAGCTGTACCGGACTAGCTAGCGGTAACCCGTAACTCCAACCAGGCATATCCGCTTCCTCGCTCTGCATCCACCTTCTCTAAACCCCCCTTATCCTAGCTATAGCTAGTGGTCACTAGTTTTAGAAATAAGTTTAACCCTATATTTACCGCATCTACTGGTTTTTGAACAACAGCTGTATCTTGTAATGGCGATCTGTTCGGTGCATGGCGATGACCACTTCCTTCAATGCACCCACTACAGCAAGAAACGGCTAAGTGATGGCATTCGTGACACTGTGTACCATGTCCTCACTCACCTTGCCCCCCTTGCTGGCATCACTCCATTCAAGGACGGAGTCACCTGCGAAACCCAAGCCCTCCTCGACAACCAGGGCTACCCCAACCAACGCCCTGCCGATATTGGCATCTCCCTCAACTCCTCCTGCCTTCGACCTCCCCCTACCACTCGGAATCCACTCCATCCTCTTTCCTCGCTATCGACATTACTGTTACCAGCCCTCCTGAATCCTCTTGTGCCCGGTCTGCCCACCAACCCAAAACCCTTTCCCAGGCCCATCTCAAGTCGATTCGAAGTAAGCTTACAACAAAATCTCGCACTGTCCCTGCTGAATACTTTACTGCTCTCCAAAATGCAGGCATCACCTGCTCCCCTTCACAGTGACCCATTTCTTGGACTGGGACCTTCGCCCATGCCCTTCTCTACGGCTCCCTCGCCAACATTCCCCCTCCCGCACCCCCATGGTCTGCCAACTCCCACCCACTCCCAACGCTCTTACAGCCAACTCCTTTCAGCCCCAACCGCCATTCTCCCCACTGCTGATACCCACTTTGTCACCCCCACCAACTACTCCATTGACACCCAATCCTACACACCTTCACACTGGGCACACCAATCCCTTGCCCTCAATGTATCTACCCACTTAGCACAACACTTTCAACGCGCTATTACACGCCAAGCTCGATCCCTGTATTCCTCCGGCTCATCCCCTCCTCAGTCTTGCCGGTCCATATATGCCTACTTCACGCCCAGAACCCCTTGATCCCTTCCCCTACTTTTACAAGCGGACGTTACCTAGTATCGTTCCTTTCACGTAATCCTTATATTATTTATTTTATTATTTATTTATTTATTTATTATTTATTATTTATTTATTTATTTATTTATTTATTATTATTTATTTATTTATTTATTTTTATTTATTTATTTATTATTTATTTATTTATTTATTTATTTATTTATTTATTTATTATTTATTTATTATATGAATTTTTTATTATTAAAGGGGGTTAGAGTAGGGAAATTATCTTACGGAAGCCAGCCGGCCAGGCTTAAGCAAAGAACAGTCGAAATTCAGGACTAGGTTCTGTGGGCAAGAAATGGAGGACCATTACGGGGGGCAAAGGGTTTGGCTTTGCGGGATCCACGGAGACATAAATGGGTAGCTTTCACAAGGGCAATTGAGATACGGGTATATGAATGGTATCGCGGAACCGGCACCGGTACATGCATGCATACAAGGAAAGGGGGGTTTAGAGGCTCGAGGATGCATGCAAGTCATGTGCATGGACTCATTTATGTGGGCACTTCCACGCCCTTGCTCCATCAAAAGATTGTTAGATATAGTCTAGTTAGTTCATTGAGCGGAAGGCCACAAGATCACTATACGTATACGGTGACGTACTGGTGCCTGGTGCCTCCCAGCAGCCGTACAGGTGCAGTCCAGAGTCAACATGACTTTGACTTCTGCTGTGGGTGGCGTTAGTATTAGCGGCTCTTCTTCTTCAAAGGTTGTGGGCCAGCAAGAGGGATCCGAAGTTCTCAAGGTCTACGATCGCTTCCGAAACGAAACCTATCGAAACGTCCACTTGGTGAACTTCCAAACCATCACCAAAGAAGAGAGGCATCTACTCATTCCACAGCTCACCTATGAGGCTGCAGCCTTCCTAGCAACAAGACATTTAAATGAGCGCAATTCATCCATAGTGCCCAATTTGACCAACAGAATGAAAGGCTGCGACATCAAATTCAGCTATGAAATGACAGAGACTCAATACAACAGACTGGTTGCCCTGACTTCTCTCCAAAAGATTGCCACACGGCCAGATTTGAGAGTGGGTGACTGGCATAGGTATCCCAGACCGGCAGCCATTATTGGTGGAGCCTACAGTTCCGTGTCACTAGCTCTTGCCAATCTAGCTGGAGTCTATCAAATCCCTCAGATTTCTGGCAGTGCATCCTCGGCAGTGCTGGATGATAAAACACCAGCTCCCTATTTTTCAAGATCCTTTCCCACCAACGAAGCGGATGCAGAGGCACTTATGATATATTACGATTCCCTAGGGGTCACTCATTTTGGATGCATTCATGTCCGGGATCTGTATGGTTCCTCCTTTAGCAGCGCATTATCAAATGCTGCAGTGAAACATGGAATCCATGTTTATTTCACAGCATTTGAAGCCAAAGATGACCAGTCACTCAAAGATGGGTTGAAGCATCTGCAGTCAACACAAGTTAGATATTTTTTCGGAATCATCTACCATGATTCACGAGAGACAGTCTTTCGGGAGGGATACAACATGGGGATTATGGGACATCCAGGTTTCACCTGGATTCTGAGTGACAGTTCATCGAACTTGGCTTCCAAAGACTACTCGCTGGACTACGAAACAGAATCGGATCTGGCGAAAGCTGTTAATGGTGTGGGGATTTTTGCTTCCTGGAATCCAGATTCACCCTGTTCTTCAAGAGATCCTTGAAAAGGACTTCAAAACAAATCAACAGCTCCAACAAGATTTTGTGGTAGCACACCCTCCCAACCTGCTCCCGATTTTGCAAAATCATAGCTTTGCCAACACCACCATGCTCCCCTCAATCTTTACCGGAATGGTGTATGATGCTGTCATCACTGTTGGGCTGGCAGCTTTGTTAGTTGCTCTAAGCTCTCTTCTAGTTTACTGTTGCTATTGAGATACTATTGAAAAAGTGGGTGGGGTACCAGCTTTTACTACTGGCATCAAATTCTAGTACAGAGGTACAGGTTGAATCCCTAATCGCGAATCCCCAACACACTCCTGTGGTCGTCGAGCTTGTCCTAGTCGTCGACCATGCTTACTTACTTACTCCGCTTAGCGCTCCTTCTTTGAACGGACCTTCTTGTCCGACCGTGACCCTCCTTCTGAGTGCCCTGGCTCTGAGTGTTCCACAACACCCATCAACTTGTCCACGTTCTGTTTGAACAGTCACCCTTGGTTCGGCTTCGTCCAGAAGTCAGCAACCATATCATCAGTTAGACACCAGTCCACACTGATCTCATTCTTTGCGACTCTGTCGCTCACAAAGAAGTACCTAATGTGGATGTGCTTCGTTCGTTTACTACTAGAAACTTTGCCGTTCTTCTCTAGAAGAAGGGCACTCTTGTTGTCCTGATAGACTATAGTTTCTTTAACTACATAGCTTTGCTCCCGAAGGAACTGCCTCTTCCAAAGGATCGATGGCATCAGGTCATCAACTGCTACGATTTCACTCTCAGTTGCGCTTCTCGTGTTCAAACTTCTTGTTTCGTCGACAGTCGATTAATTTGGTGGGTTTAAAAAAAAACCGGTGCCCATTGTCAAACCACCTCCGGTGGGACCCCTCATGTTTGGATGGATTCCGAAAGAACCATCAACATACCATTTCATTATGCCACTTCCGTCGGCTTTGAGAACTAATGGTATTTTTCTAGTACATCTAATGAACTGCATGAGGTGGACTATGTTATCCCATCGTCTTGCCTATCTGGTTCCTTGATTCTAGTCGTGAGGAACGATTTCGCCGTACCTGTGTCTGGTCGGTCTCTCTTTGTAGCGAATAACACCTTAACCACCAGGCTGTGAAAGGTGTCTGCCTTGCTCGTTGGGAGCTTCTTGCAGGATTCGTCTACTATGAACAGGTCTTTCGGGGCTGCACTACTTCTAGTTTTCTTGCCCCCTTCCTCTGGCGATGCCTTCTCGAAGGCTTCAAGGATTTCATCAATGTACTTGTACATTGATACGTTGAATTGACCCTTCGTCGTGAAGTCTATGGTCATGCCCAGATACGTGTGAACCTTTCCTCGGCTCACCGTCATCTCTCAGTGCCGTCCTCGAATATGCTTTCGTATTCTTCACGAAGCACTTGGATCACCTGGTCGTTAACCTTCGAAACCTTGTGGCTAAGCTTGCAGTCGTCTACATGCCAGCAGACTGTTTTTTGCTTGCCGTGCACCATACTGTTGGCTACACATGGGACGTAAGGATTAATCTTAAATCCGTTCCGGACCATCGTCTTCCGGAACTTACGGTAGTATAGTAGGCTAGTTACCATGGTGCCGTAGATGGCAATCAAGCATTGCAGTAGCAACTGCTTGTTGCCTTTCTTATCCGTGGTTACGAACGGTTTGTAGATATCTGGGGCTATTTCACACAGCATGGCTACTAGTACTCCTCTTACTCTAATGCTTACCATATCTTTTTAATCCTCGACTCTTGTCTGGTTGAAGGCGTTCGGGATGTCAATTACTGCCCCATCCCTTTCCTCTTCAGCGCCGATTATGCAGGATAGTAGCACTGCTTCTGTCGACACTGTTGCCGAGCTTGCTTCTTCCTTGGAGATGAAGTCATGCTGTTTGTTGCCTCCTGCAACCGCTCCGCCTTTGATCTTCCCGTTCCTTTTCAACTTAGGAACAGGTGTGACTCTAGGTACTCTTGCGTTCCATATCGCTGAGTTCTTCCATTTCTTCGGACGGAAGGTATCCCTGAGATGTAACTGTTTTATCTCGGCAAAGGCTGCATCGTGCGCTTTGTCTTCCACTCCATTGAGTCCAGCCTTCAATGACAACTTGTCATGATGGCTGCTACCACATCAGGTTCTTCTTCTACCTGTGTGTAGAACTGTGTGTGCATCTGGGTGCAAGACACGTTCAATTTATGGACGTTTGGCGTCTATAATTCTTTCATCAAAGCTGGGAATATACGATTTCTTTGCTTGTGTCCTCACTCTACTAGACCTGCGCCACTCCTTGGCGTCTGCTCAGGTGCCGCTTGGGTTTCAACACCCACTCCTGGAATCTGTTCCAGGGGCTGTTGGTCGTAGTAGTTCCGGTTCCTCACCGTTTCGACGATAGGTTGTGTAACCTGGTTCCGTTTCGATTTTCAGTTCAACGATTTCATTCGTTCGTTGACTATCGATTCTCGTCGTCTTGACGTTGTCCTGGGGATCGTCGGGATCATCTTCCATTTCGCAATGGTTTCAGCATCCGCGTCCAGGTCCTCATCGGTTTTGATCATTTGTAGTGGGGGTGCGATCATTGCTTTCTCTCCCCGTCCACTCCTGTGATCTAGACATCACCAATGTGTCTATTTTTTCGATCAGTAAAACGAGTAGTTTAGGCTGATTTTTTCCTAATAGATTGACTCTACTATCACTGTGTCTGGCATTTGGATCTTGTCCCATGAATGCGAGTAATTTTCTTGCCGGAGCGGAGGCTCTAAATTTGTAGCCTCCTTGCTTATTTCCCTCGTTCCCATCAGATGGCCGCCTTTGTGCGTCCTACCATGCTGTTACGGGGCGAGTCTTCTTCCTGCACCTGGCAGTAGTCTCCGAAATGCAGGCTCAGGTGCTTTTTATAGTCCAGGGACTCTCCCATCATTATCATACGGGGGCTCATTGTCTCGCTTACCCCCGCCTTACTTGGAAAGTACGTCAACTGTTTGACGACTTGTAACACCAAGTTGACGGTTAATATTTTGGCATGCGTGTAAACGGTAGGCTATGCGGACAGCTCGTGTCCTTTCTTGACTACCCGGATTCTACGTTCGATCTCGGGTAAGTGCTCGTTAGCACTGACAACGTTCACTACCGGTCCACCCGGCATTGCATGATTGTGTTGGACAGAGGCTCAAACTCATTGTCCACTGAATGGTCGTGATTCTAAACCACGAGCCTTGTAGAATCGATAGACTCCTGAACTGCGTTTAGATGGTCTCTAGCTTCCTGTTGGGCAGGTGCCTAGATGTTGTAAAATCGATTTTACGGCTTAGCGTTAACAGGAACGGAATTCCGCCACAAAGAAAATATCCATTTTAGGAACACATCCTTGTGTAATTGCAAAAGTCTCTCGGCACTTTCATTGCATTGCCTGCCACTGCGTTCGTTTCGTACGAGTGGTCTTCCTTTCAGCGCATCAATATCCTTGCCCCATATAGCTTTTGCCGTGTCGATGTCTTCGACGTCACAGGGCAATTTGCGATTTGATTGCTCTTAATCGCCCATCGGAATCTTAATCGATGGATAGACGAGTTGCTTATATAGCAGCTTCGCCCTTTATGCGGCTTTAACTTGTCGGTTGCTGAAGCCTTCCTTTATTTCGGCGACAGTATTCACAATGCCTTCCCTTTTTTCTAGGGTCATGAACGTGTATTCCTTCACTGTTCATTTCTTATACTAGTCCGGTAGGCCCGGTCTAATGACTGTGTAGGTTCCTTTTGGACAGTCATAGACGATGTTGCAATTCTTGCGGACATTCTTCACAGATAAGCATGTTCGTGATTCCTCTTTCATCGAACCATACTCTACTGTTTGTGGCCAGCTAACTTGGCTGTGTGCTGGACCTACAGCTTGCCTCCGGTACTCGTTCACTGTAATTGGACGATCGGCTTTCCTGATGTCGGTAACACATGTCTTTATTACAGAAAAAATCCAACGTGGACTGGTGTCCAGTAGCTGGACTCTCTCATATCTATGTCGTCCAATCCTTTTTTGTGGGCGACTATGCCTTGCTTAGTCGGTTTCTTCGTTCCGTCCGAACAGCGGTACGTCGAACGTAAAGAAACGTTTCTGACTTTCTCGTCATCTCACTGCGTGATGTCAGAGTCGCATCATCCTGTTCTTCCTCCAGGTTTGTCAATGCTGTCGTCATTTTTATCTTGCAGTTTGCTGTAGCTAGGTTCTCCTTTGAACGCTACTAGAGCTTTTCTTGCTCGACGTGCTTGACTTGTACGCTTGCTCGACCTAGATTGTCATCGTCGTCTTTGTCTTTATCTTTGTCTTTACTTTGTTTTTTCTTTATCTTTGTCAGACAGTGCGAGGCTGGATGTCCTTTAACGTGGCAGGAAAAGCATTCTTCTCTTTCCAGTATTCATTATCATAGCTCGCGTTTCGCGGCCTTTTCCTCTGCCACCACCCCGTCTCTCCCGCCTTGTGCTGCTGAGCAAAGGGGCTTCCGTGGGAAGGGGACTGTCGTGGGGTGTTACCCTTGGTGTGTTTGTCCAAAAGGTGTAATACCCATGTAACGTGTGGGATAGTTATCAGTGCCTTGGCAAAGTCGTCCCTAGTTCTGTTTAAGCTTGGTATTTTCGGCTGAACTATTGTTAAGAAGATTAACTATAGATACCGTTCCTCTGCGTATGCGAGACTGTCTTCTGGTCTTGCTCCCAGGTCAGCGTATTCTGTGTGGGTGGGTAGGTTAGCCGTATGCACAGGCTGCGTCGTGTAGTTGGAAATACCCACGGATTTTGCAATGTCCTTTCGTTGTAAATTTCTCGTGGTATTCGAAGCGTAAGGCTCCCTTGGTGGAAATTACACAGTTGTTTTTCCAGTTGGAATAATGTGTGGTACACAAATTATCATCGGTCTTGGCCATGATCGTCTTGTGGAACATTTTTCGTAGCTCCAGTGGGTCGCATCTTAACAGACGTCTATCGAGTCCGTGTTCTGCTTCATCTTGTCTTAATAGTCGGGTGCACTGCCCTAGGATTAAGTTGAATGCTTTGCCTCTTTTTTCTTGTAGTTTTGCCAACTCGTAAGGTGGGTCTTCATTAGCCCTCCATACTCTCTTTCTCGAGTCCCCGGAGTTCCTCTTCCGTTGGGTCGCTATGGCTGCCGTAGGTCGGCTATTTCATTAACGAGTTTTCAATAGTATGTTAGTTGCTTTTTCTATCGTTAGTGTGCGTAGGCTACGAGAGTCGGGTCATTGGTTACTCGGTTATCTCTGATTCTAGTAGCGTAGGCTTTCTTGGGTTGCCGTTTGGAGACGAAGGTTGTTCTGTTCACGTCGTTCCGCGGCGCTTCAAGCCTGTTCCGGGTCTCCTCTGAGTACACCGGTGCTACCAACACTGTCTGTTTTCAGGTTGCGTAGCTCATTGCTCATGTCGTCACCCATCGTTTGTCCAACGTGGAGACGATCTTCTCCCATGTGCGTATCATCTGTCTGCCGTTCCAGATCCAGTTGTACCGAAGTTCAAACACATGTTGGTCGAGGGCTTTGCATGAACCTTTCTGCTGGTTCGACGATGGGTTGTTCTTCCATGCCCTCGTGCTTTGCCGCCTCCTCGGCCACCCCGTCCTTTACCTCTACCGCTCATTGTCTATGCTACGGTAGGTGGACTATTTCAATTCGTTGTTTTTTGATTGACAGCCTTTTATTTAAGTTCTCGTCCGACTACTTATTCGTCTTATGGCTATGGGGCGATAAACTTCAAATTATATTCCTGGCTAGGGAGTGTAAATCTATTTACTAAAGATCTTGCAGGAGGGAACGATGCTTCACACACTGTGCGGTCGTTTCCACTCGAACCCGTTTCTTTGTATTGTTGATTCCTGTTGGGTGCCTTTCCTTTGGCCCCTGCGCTGGCACTGGCTTTCGCGCTTGTTGTTGCTCTGACAGTTCCGGCTGATGCTGTCGGCTCTTCTATCACAATCCTTGTGGATTCTGCCGATGAAACTCTTGCTGTTGCCGTCGTCGACCGATACTCGCGTCGTCGTCGGCTGCAGTCTTGATCCTTCACTCGTTGCGTCGTCGCGATCCGTTGCGTCGTCGCTGTTGCTGTTGCTGTCGATCCTTCGACAGGCTTCTTCTCTTGTTGCTGTCGTTCGAACGTCGAACAACAGACTTGGTCTTGTGCACGACGATCCTCAGTCGTCGTCGCGTTGCTGTCGTTTCGACATGCTTGGTCTCTATCGATCTTCTTCTTCGGCACGACGGTCTCGTCGTCGCGATCGGTAATCCGTCCTCGGATCCTTGCGTCGTCGCTCCTGCTACCGTTGACTCGATAGGCTCCTCTTCGCTTCTTCGCTTCTTCGATATCGATAGTAGACCGCTTTTTCAGTAGTATGTTAGTTGCTCTAAGCTCTCTTCTAGTTTACTGTTGCTATTGAGATACTATTGAAAAAGTGGGTGGGGTACCAGCTTTTACTACTGGCATCAAATTCTAGTACAGAGGTACAGGTTGAATCCCTAATCGCGAATCCCCAACAAGCTTGTCGACAAACTGATCATTTCTTCTCCCCCGACCAGTTCTTACAAGGAATTCGAAGACAATCTTTTGAAGGGGCAACAGGATATGTCACATACAATACTGTGACGGGGACCAGAGATCTTTTGGGGCTACGATATGCCATTACAAATATCATCATTGCAGAGGACAGAGAACAGTTCACACCAGGAAAAATCCAGTTCAAGTCAACCACTCCTGTGGCAATTGAGTTCCCTTCCAAGGTAGTGGACTTGGGTCTGGGGCCCTTTATCTATGCAGACAACACAACATCAGTCCCACCAGCCCTTCCCCATCTTGATGAGGATATGAACTTGATCCCCTTGGGTGTTCAAGGTTTTGGTTGGGGACTCATGGGATTCATCATGGTTCTCTCCATTGGCTGCATTGCATTTGCCCTCCGATACAGCAGAAAGAGAGCAGTTTCTTCAGCCCAGCCAGCTTTTCTTGTGATGATTGCCAGTGGATGCCTACTCATGGCTTCTGCCATTCTTCCAATGTCGCTACAAGAGCCCGCACGAGAATCAAGATTGGATATTGCTTGCATGTCCAACCTGTATCTGATTTGCATAGGGTTCTGCATCTCGTATTCAGCCTTGTTTTGCAAGCTGTATCGAATCAACCAATTGCAGCAAGGAGCAAGGCAATACAGAAGAGTTCAAGTGAATGTAAAAGATGTGCTCTTTCCACTGGTCATCATGGTTGGACTCAATCTTGTTGTTCTTGTCACCTGGAGTGTTGTTGATCCATTGGTGTGGGAGCGAAAAATTGAGCACTCCAGGGATAGATTTGATCGTCCTACTTCAAGCTATGCCATCTGTTCGAGCAACAGTCAAACCTTGGAGACGTTGTTTGGGGCCTTGCTGTTGGCAATCAACTTTGTGGCTTTGGCGTTGGCCAACTGGGAAAGTTACAAGGGAAGAGATTTGCCCACGGAGTTCAATGAAACCAGCAGGATTGCCATGTCCATGTTTTTCCTCATTGAAGCTATTATCATTGGCAGCCCAATTTTGCTGGCAGCTCAAGGCAATCCCGCCGCCACATTTCTTGTTAAGGCCGTGTTGATCTTTTGCACCTGTCTGGCTATTATCGGCCCCATGTTCCTTCCTATTTGGAATTTACAAACTGGGCGCGAAAATGCGAAGAGATCGGTTATTACAGCTTCAAATACAAATACAAATACAAATACAAATACAACAAGAGGGGCGGATATGGTCCACACAGTCACACCTTAAAGACGTCCGACTTCTTGAATCAACAATTCTGACAGGCCATCGCAGCATGTGGTTACCTCACCAGCTGTTTCAGCTGCCGGTAGCCCGAAATCATCATTCGACGCCCCCAACCACATCTCCATGCGGTCCTAGTGAGAGATCACGAAGTTGGCGTGAGCAAGCGGGTCACGGTTGCCCTTCTCGAAAGCCACCGCACTGCACTACTACCACAAGTCTAACTATAGACTACCTAGCGTTTGACAATGATCGTTACCTTGATGCATGTGGAACCTCCATCAGGAGCCTAAATGAACCAGCACAAAGTTATCATTTCTCTTTGCTTTGAGAAAGCGTTGAAATAGCTACTCATTGGTTCCATGTTTTCAGACGGACGGTCTGACGTTGTGCAACCGGCCCACTCCCTCCAGAACTCAACCCTTGAGCGATTGGCTGCAACATTTGGCTTTCATAAAACTGCCATACGTTCTATTTTATTACAAGTGCACCTTGGTGGTCGGTTTAAGGCATCTCTAGCTAGAGAGTAAATAATGTGGGAACCTGAAACGACCCATTCAAGATCGGGAAGGAAAAGGATGGCATTGACAAAGGAACGGGCAAAACTTGCTGGGATGCCGTTGGCAATTCGCTAAACTCGTTCCCGTAGAGTTCTCCTGATGACAAAAGACGATTGATTATGGAAGACCGGATGCTTATTTCGTGCACAAGCTCTACACATTGACAGATCGTCGAGAGTTATTTCTTCATCTATCTAATAGAAGCTATCATAGTAGCGCACGGTATCGTCATGCCGCATGGCCCAGCCTGAAAGATGTGCTTTTGTCTATAGGCTACAGTACAGTCAACGTTCCTCGTCGTACGGAGTTTCCGTTGCCGCTGCCTGCTGCAGTTTGTCATGTCAATCCCTGAATCCGTTCGTTCGTTCGTTCGTTCGCTACAAGCTTTTAAAATGCTGCTCCCCCTACTTTGTGGACTCTTCCCTTGCTGGATTGCCGGACGGCACTGCCATCGGTTTCGGACCGGATGGATTGGTGGGATTCTTTCGGGAAGTCGTCGACCTTTGCTGTTGTGGTGGCGGTGGTGGTAGTAGGACTGCTGCATATTTGGGATCCAGATAGCACGTATTGATTTGGTGTGTCGTTCGTTCAATGTGGTAGAGTACCTGCGATACACTTTTGCGTCTTGCATATCGTTCCGTGACGTGCGGCGAGCTCATGCGGAGGCTTTTCCGACTCTTTCGACTCTGGTACATGGATTCTTCTAGACGATAGAGTCGTTTGCGATAGATTTGTTCAAAGGAATTGATGCTTCGGTAGGTTGGTGTGGGAGTGGGCGGATTGGAGAGCGATGGCAATGCCAAATCCGGGTGGAAACAACAATCCCAAGCAGTGTGATTGGGGTGATTGGTATAGTGATAGTAGCTCATGGGTGGACCTGGTTTGGGAGTTTTGGCTTGCAATGTCTTGGGTGGCTTGGTCTTCATGACAACATTGGCATTGCTGCTGCCGCTGTTGTTGTCACTAATGTCGGATGCAAAGGATACTTCCTTGGCGTGCAATGATTTGGGACGTGGAACCCAAAAGTCGGTGTTGTAAATGTGTTGGAGCTCGGCTTCCCGTTCTTTCTTGCTCCCCACGAGGAACTCGTCTATGGATGCCTCCTTGTTGTTGCTAGTAGCAGTAGTAGCACTATCCAAGAACAAGGGACTGAGCGGTGGCTTGCGGTCCTCGTCGATCCGAATGATGTGATCTTCGTCGTGATCACTGCTGTTGCCACAATCCATAATGACGACATCATCCCATCCATCAGTGTGCTTCTGATCAAAGCTCTCACTGCTGTTGTTGCGCAGCAGTGGAGAGACTGTGCGACTGTTACTGTTGGGTTCTCCTTCGAGCATCATGACAGCGTTGTCATGGTCCGTGGACGTCAAGGAGGGAAGTTGCTGGACGTGGGTATCTATCATTACGATACCAGTAGGCTCGGTAGGATCCGAGTCGGCAGGAGCGGCTGTCATTGTCTTGTGTCTTGTTTTATCTTTCCTTAGACACCGCCAAGTGAGATTGTAATGAGCCCAAGAAATATTCCCTCGTTGTGGTGGCTTCGTCTTTTGCAAGAGAAGATTCCCTCGTTGTGGTGGCTTCGTCAACGAGCTAATACCTCGTAGCTAAGCACAACCAACCAACCAACCAACCAACAACACTGCTACCCCGTCGATCCAAAAGGCTGGAATCGAAAATGTGATTATGGAGACGAGCAAGGCAACAAGGAATGACTCGACTCCTTCATCCATCCATCTAGCATCCAACAACTGATGATGCTTGCAAAAGTTGGTGCTGCGTTGTAGACGCTCTGTCGGATGGATCGTCGAACTCGAGGCGGATTCCGTCCAAGCAAAATGAAACACAGCGGATGTAGTCTAGCTGGCCAAGATCGAGCTGGCTAAAGTTGGCCTTTCGATAAACTGCTAAAATAATAAAGAATCTTGGTGTTGGATACATGTAAAAGGGCAATGGATGCGGGGATATATATATATATATATGGTCGACATATGGATCGTGTTGTCGAACGAAAAATGGTGGCGAAATTGTTGTTTTGGGCGCAGCAATGCTTTGTCGATGGCTTGCGCGCACGAGTTGTGGAAAATTCGGGGCCCAACAAACTTGTTTCATTCCTCGCGATACTGCTTTTGTCGGTTGAAGAGGCGAGCGGGTGGAGAATGACAATCGCAACAACATTCGGTGGCTCTAAAGCCAGATAGCCAGGTATCTGGAAGGGTTGTCAGCTTTCATGGGTCACACTTTGGCACCGCTAAGGCCACTTCCTTCAGGGTGGTCGAGTCGAGTCAGTCTTTGCTTCTGGCTTGAGGATGAGGCAGGCCCAACAAACTTGCTGCCTGGTTCCATTGTTCCTCCCAATTCGGCTTTGTCGGTTGAAAGAAGCGGGTGGAGGATGGCGATCCCGACTAGCTAGCTAGACTGGTTGGGCCCTGATCGAAGGCAGTATCTGCTCTGGCCAGGTTTGCTTCCTCCTTGCCCGTCCTACTATCTAGTCGTCTTGTTTCTGGCGCCACCTGAACGTTTGAAGATGGATCAACAAGACGAATCGCAAGATGAGTCTCTTTGCCGTCGGCTGGTTAGCCGTTGAAGGCTACGGTACAGCATGTACTATGGTAGCGAGTAGGAGATCCGGCTTGCTACGGTAGCTGGTACCTCGTTTGCTTGAAAAGAAAAAAACTGAACGTCTAATAACGGATTCAGACGAGATGTGCTTGAGGACTACCCACGAGCTAAGGCTCGGGTATTTCCCACAGTCAAGTCTGCTCACCGGCCACACTGGCCTCCTGAGAGGGTGCGACGCCTGTTAGCTATCTAAGGATTTGTTTGCTTGAAAAGGTTGGACAACATTGTAGCATCCAATCGAAGCAAGAGAGGAGATGCTTCTGCGTTGCTCGTGCTCCTCTACGATTGACGAATCGAATCATATCTAGCTAGCTAGCTACGATACCAGTACTGTACTAGCCCCCCCCTTTTTAGTATTGCCGCCGTTGTTGAGTACGCTGTGAAATTCCGGATGGATTCTTCTCAAGTTGTGTTGTTACATGGTTATTGTTGTTGCTATTGTTGTTGTAGCAGTAGTTTTCGCTGCTGCTGCTGATCTCTCGCATGATCCTCATTGACCGTGGCATAAATGTTGCAGAGAAAACATTCTGTCATGTTGAGTAAATCCGTGGCCATGGCCCGTTTGGGGAGAATGGCGGGTTGTCCAAAAAACAAATGCAATGTTCGTTCCATGGCACAACAGAGTTTCCTGGCATCGGGATACGGGTCACCACGATTGGAGTCGGTAATACTATTGGCAAATCTCATTTGCTGCAGCATGGCCCAATAGGTAGATTGTGGTCGTTTTAGTATTTCTTGTTTGTGTACGGCAAAATGAGCACTGGGTTTGAACGTGACTTTGAAGGGTGGTGCCGGCAATGTCAGTTTTTTGTTATTGGTAGTAGTGGTGTTGTTGTTGGGAATGGCAAAGTAGGGCCATAGAATCTTCATGGCATATCCATCGTAATTGTCCATACCCCATTGTTCCTGCAATTCTCGTCCTCCCAAATGGACAAACGGTTGTTGTGGAGTGACAAATTGTTGGGTGACATTAACAATGGGTTCAAATGTCTCAAACATGGTGTGAGCTTCCTCGCGTTTATACCGAGAAAAGGGCAGCAGGGCATCGTCGTGGACAAAGACATTGACGGTAGTCAAATCATTGTAGTAATCGTGCATGTAATCAAAATAGCCATTGCATTCTTCCGGTCCAGCATTGATCGGTCTGTGCTGTTTTACGACTGTGTTGGGAAACTGATGGGTATCTTGGAGGGCGTCTTGTCCGCACTTTTCGTAGACGACGATACGCCAATCGGAGGGTACTTGATCGAGCCATGTCATGTTCACCTTGCAGTGGACCACTACCAAAGTGTACGTTGGATCTTCTTCTTCTAGTTGTTGTTGTGTGGCTGGAGAAGTCGTACTACTACTAGTACTATCAGAAGTAGCAGAGGAATTTGCACAGTTCTTGCCGTTGCCATTGTCAGTTCGGAACAACTGCGCTCTCAATGTCAAATTGACGCCTTGCTTGTAGAGCTGGCCAATGGCAATCATAAACAGAAACCCCAACAGACCCAAACGAAACCGTTGTTTCATTGACAGTGTTGTCATGCTCATGCTTATTGTTGCTTCGTTATTGTTAATACATGTACATGTATCTGTGATTGTGCCTGGCTCCTCGTGAGGCGCTTGTTTGCGGGGTGATAGAAGTCTCATGGTCGCGGCTTTTTGTTTCCCTTTCGAGCTTTAGTTTTTTAATTTTGGAGAAAGGATAGCTAGACGCGATTCGATTCATTCACAGGATGTATGATACATTTAATTAAACATGTACTCCTGCTTACTATTAATAGTAGTACAGCTATTAATACGTATGCATACATGCTTTAATTAAATGCACCTTACTCTACAAAACATTAACTGAACCTTGTACAAGACATGCAGGGAACAACGGAGAACACCCTCACCCTCCAAGATTGTTTTGGTTAAGGCACAAAAATGGAGCACAGAAGCTGGCTACCGCGAACCGAGATGCATCATCAGCGATCAAAGAGTCAGTATGTCTCGCTTACTAGCTAGCGTAGCTAGCAAAGCAGAATAAACATTGCACATTGCAGGTTGACCAAGGTCCTGGTATCCTTAGCTAACCTTTCCGCACCAGAAGCCAGCTAGATGTAGGTACATGTACGCAGCTGCCAGGAGTAAATACCGCTGAGGAGATGCCGAGACGTACCGTAACTCCATGATTGAATGATTCTTTGGAGCACCTCGTAGCTATCAATAGCCAACCATATCGAGATCCGAGCGAGCACCAAGGGTTGGAGCGAGTGAAGTACTGGTACCAGTAGTTACTTCCCATCTTCGCTACTATCGTTGTTGCATAACATAGTACCGGTATCATAGCACTGATGAATCAATCATTCGAGGAGGGTCTGATTATCTAAGGGGGGTTTAGTGTAGTAGGATTATCTACCGAAGCCAGCTAGGGCCAGGCTTTTAAAGCAAAGCACAGTCGAAACTCAGGACTTGGTTCTGTGGGATCAGGCAGGGGCAAGAAATCGAGGACCAGTACGGGGGCCAAAGGGTTGGGCTTTGCAGGATCCACGGAGACATAAACATGTCTGATTAGCTCTAGAGCTATTGAGAGCCCATCGGCAGTCTACTAGCTAGTCGCCATAGTCACCGCACCCCAAGGATTGTACCTGAGAAGAGAGAGGGTGGTGAAAGAAACGGAGTTTGACTTGCAACTGACTTTAAATCTTCAAGTCTCTCAAAAGACATAGGCTCTAGAAAATGACTCGACTCCACCCCATTTCCATCAAGCGAAGAGGCACGCAGCCATGCGTGCATCCAGATGCACTGGGACCCTGCATGCACGAACATACCGGTGTATGCAGATGTCCCATGGATGCAAAAGCAATACGGCACATACACTCCATGTGTGTTGTCTCTAATAAAAAAGAATTGTTTGTTGAGTCGATTACATGTCCAACTTATTATCCAACCACAGAAGCAACATAAGCCATGGTTCCATTCCAATGACGGTCCTAGGCGACAAGAGCAGCTCTTATAACTTATCGACCTCCCACGGTTTGACGGTATTGGACAGAAAGGTTGGCTCTGAAGTGCTCGAGGTATTTGACGGCTTCTCCAACGAGACCTATCGAAATGTCCATGTGTTAAGCTTGAAACCCATTATGTTTTCTCGAGAATCAACAGGTCCACTTGAAATTTTTCAGCTATCGTTCGAGGCAGCTGGGTATATAGCGGCAAGGCATTTCAATGAACGCAACTCTTCCATTTTGCCAGATCTGGGAGAAAGGCTTGTGGGGTGCGACATCAAGTTGTCTTATGAAATGGCAAATACCATGATCAACAGACTGGTGGCTCTCAAGGCACTACAAGAAGCAGCCACTCGACCAAATATGCCATTGGGGGCTGTCCTCCAGCCAGACCAATGGAAGCCTCGCCCTACTGTGATTAATGGCCCTGCGTCGAGCACTGTATCCCTGGCAGTTGCTAGCTTGGCGGGTGTCTACGAAATCCCACAGATTTCGGGAACAGCATCCTCCACAGTGCTGGATGACAAAGCTAGGGCTCCATTCTTCTCGAGGTCCTATCCTACCAACCAAGCCGATGCAGAGGCACTCATGATATATTTCAAGTCCATAGGTGTCACACATTTTGGTTCCATTTACAGTCTTGATGCATATGGCTCTTCTTTTGGAGAAGCAGTGAATACTGCTGCTACCAAACATGGAATCGTCAATTATTTTACCGCATACGAAATTGGCAGGGGGGTGCAGCCGTTTATTGAGAGTTTACAGTATCTAAAGTCGACCCAAGTCAAATACTTTTTTGGTATTTTTGATGTCGGAATACCCGTTGAAGATGGATGTCGAGAGGCACACAGGCAAGGCATCATGGGTTTCCCTGGATACACATGGATACTCACTGAAAGTGAATCAAAGATTACTTCGGCTGACTTCTCCCTTGACAATGAAACAGATGCAGATATTGCCAAGGCGATACATGGTGTTGGGGTGTTGCTTCCTGGAATCACGATTCATCCAGTCCTCGAACAAATCATGACAGAGGACTTCAAGACTGATCGACAGCTACAAGAAGGTTTTGTGAATGCTCATCAACCCAATTTGCTCCACTTCTTCGATGACTTCAATTTTTCCATTACCACCTTGTTACCCTCAATTTATGCTGCCATGGTTTATGATGCTGTCATGACTGCAGGATTAGCAGCTTGTGATCAAACTGAGAGGTTCTTCTCGTCTGAGCAGTTGCTCACGGGAATTCGACAACAAGCATTTGGTGGTGCAACCGGATATGTCTCATACAACAATGTCACCGGGACAAGGGATCTCACGGGACTTCGATATGCAATAACCAATGTGATCATTGCCCCTGACAACCAACAACTCACTCCAGGAAGAATCCGTTTCAATCCCATAACCCGAACAGCAATCGAGTTTCCTTCGCGGATAGTAAACTTGGGTCATGGGCCATTCATTTACTCCGACAACACAACATCAGTGCCCGAGGCACTACCACACGTGGATATGGATATGAACTTGATCCCTTTGGGTGTTCAAGGTTTTGGTTGGGGACTCATGGGATTCATCATGGTTCTCTCTCCAGCTGCATTGCATTTGCCCTCCACTACCGAAGCAAGAGAGCAGTTGCTTCAGCCCAACCAGCCTTCCTTGTGATGATTGCCAGTGGATGCCTAGTCATGGCAACTGCCATTATTCCAATGTCCCTACAAGAGCCCATCCCAGCATCAGGACTGGATATTGCTTGCATGTCCCAATGGTACCTAGTATGCCTTGGTCTGTGTTCCTTTTCAGCCTTGTTTTGCAAGCTCTACCGCATCAACAAACTACAGCTGCGAGCAAGCCAATTCAGAAGAGTTCAAGTGAATGTAAAAGATGTGCTCTTTCCACTGGTCATCATGGTTGGACTCAATCTTGTTGTTCTTGTCACCTGGAGTGTTGTTGATCCATTGGTGTGGGAGCGAGAAACTGAGCACTCCAGGGATAGATTTGACCGTCCTACTTCGAGCATTGCCGTCTGTGCCAGCAACAGTCAAACCTTGGAGAAGCTGTTCGGGGCCTTGTTGTTTGCAATCAGCTTTGTGGCTTTGGCATTGGCCAACTGGGAAAGTTACAAGGGAAGAAAGTTGCCTACGGAGTTCAATGAAACCGGCAGGATTGCAATGTCCATGTTTTTCCTCATTGAAGCCATTATCATTGGCAGCCCAATTTTACTGGCAGCTCAGGGCAATCCCACCGCCACATTTCTTGTCAAGGCCATGTTGATCTTTTGCACCTGTCTGGCTATTATCGGCCCCATCTTCCTTCCTATTTGGAGTTTACAAATCAGGCGTGAAAAAGTGAAGTTATCTGGCAGAGCTTCAAAATCAAATCCAACAGCAGGAGAGACTTCAGATGTGGTCACCACTGTCACAGCTCAAAGATGTCCGACTTCGTGAATCAACGATTCTGCGTCACAACACTTGGTTAAGAAGACTAGATCCCTTGCTGCTGTCATGTCTGCCAAGTCAACAAAGACGAATTGGGCGAACTCATCAATACACATACTCGTTTCTATCGTCAGTCAGAATGATTTATGGTGCTGCCACCTCATTGCCTGTCTCTTCTAACACTACCACTTTACCCTTTTTGGTGTCTCTGCTGACCGCCTCCTTGGCTCCACAGCTCCGGCTCTCTCCAAATCTCTCTCCTCTCTGCTAGCCACCAAGTGGTCTCACCCTCAGTCAGTGGTCCATACTACACCAGTGCCCGGCTCAACCTGGCTATTGGGTTCGATGGGCCCTCCACCACTGCTTGTGTGGCTCCCATGTGCCTGCTGGCACAAGTGATGAGCTTCCACTGCTTCCTTCTGGGATGCTGACGCCGGTGCACTTGCACTCTTCTTGTTTTTGATCGTTTTTGTTAAAGGAGGAAAAAATGAGATTGAGTAATTCAAATCAATCTGGTAGCCACAGAATCATCCTACAGATTCTCGGAGCACTGGGCATCCACTCCTTTAACTTAACTAATATGGACGATTCAAATCTTTATGAATAAATGCAATCGTTCGATGTGTTCTTACGATTGCTTAATATGCTAAGTTTATTTTTAAGTAATTTTTGTAACAGAGTTCTAGCCTAAGCGTATGGCGACCATGTTTTCTTATTTTTCTCCCGGTGTAATTTGTTTAGCTCTTTTTGAATCCCTACCATTCAATTTATTGACAACGATCAGTCGATAAAGTGATTCGATTTTTTTTTTCCATGTTCCTTCCAAATTGAGAGTATGTGGATAACAAATCTGGTTCTACAACTCGAAATCCATGGATTTAATCGGATGGCAGATTCAATTGGTATATATCAGGGAAGTTTGGGCTGTTGATTGATGTATGCTTGATATGCCTTACGAAAAATGTACAAAAATCCGTTATTGGTTTATATGATTAGGGAAAAATAGGTCGCTTCGTGGCAACATTACATTGTTGTACTAAAAGGCAGTCACCCCTATCCACCCATCAATTGATATTGGGGATTATATAATTTTAATCAATGCAAATTCGATTATTTTAAACGA